GCCCACTCCCTTGCCACTCTCCCCTGCCCACTCTTCTCTGCAACTCTCCCTCTGCCCCCACCTAACCACCTTGGCTCACCTCCCTTGCCTCGTGTCCCCTGCCTCTGCCCCTGTCACTGCCAGTTGGGTGTTGTCCGCAGTTTACTCAGTTTGTCATGATTTATATGCGTTTTGCATTTTATATTATTTTTATGATAAATGTGCTTTTTTTATAACACACACCATGAACGCGGATATGTACACAGTAAACACGCACTCATAGCATGCACAGTTATAGTATATAATATATATATATAATACTATCTATATAATAATATTAATATTATATATATATATATATATATATACTTATAACAACATAAACATCTTCANACTCTACCATGGCTTATCCTACCCTACCTTACCCTACCCTGCTCTACCTTATCCTCTCCTCTGATCCGCACTCCGTTGTCTTCTTTCTATCTTCTTTCACGTCTCTCTCTCTTTTCTCTCCTCGTCTCTCTCTCTCACTCTATCTCTCTCTTCTCTCTCGCTCTTCTCTCTCTCCTCTCCTCTCTCTCTCTCTCTCTCTCTCTCTCTCTCTCTCTCTCTCTCTCTCTCTCTCTCTCCCTCTCCCTCTTCCCTTCACCCTCTCCTCCTTTCTCTCTCTCCGTCCATCTATCTCTCTCTTTCTCTCTCTCACTCTCCCCCTTTCTCACCCCTTTGCCGGTCTCCTGGCTCGTTATACCGGTTCCTTTTATGGTTTCTTTACTCGTTATCCCATTGATTCGTTGGCGCACATCCTCGTTTTCCTCCTCCTCCTCCTCCTCCTCCCTCCTCCTCCTCCTCCTCCCTCACCCTCCCCTCTCTATCCTTGCCCTCCTTGCTTGTTCCTCCCCCCACCAGCCCCTCCTCTTTCTCCTCGTCTTCGTCTTCTTCTTCTTTTCTACTCCTCTCCCCCCCCCCCTTTCTATTCCTCCTTCCTCCTCCTCTTCTTTCTTCTTTCGTCTCCTCTTTTCCTCTCTCCCCCTTTTCCTCTCCTCCTCCTCCTCTCTCCTCCTTCCCTCCTCCTCCTCCTCCTCCTCCTCCTCCTCCTCCTTCCTGCTTCACACTCCCCCAAACCGCCTTCTCTTCCTCATTTCGATGTCCTTCGCGTATTCGCTCTATTATTCTCTGTATAAATTTTTAACGCTTTTTTGCTTTTCGCTGTCCTGATATTTTTTTATTTTATTTTTTATTTTTGTTTGTTTGATCTCTTCTCTTTCTCTTTGTTTTGCTATTTGTCTCTTTTCGTCTTTTGTGGGCTTAAAGACTACTTTTCATTCTCAATTTCTCTCTCTCTCTCTCTCCTCTCTCTCTCTCTCTCTCTCCTCTCTCTCTCTCTTCTCTCTCTCTCTCTCTCTCTGGTGTGTGTGGGTCACTGTGTGTGTGTGTGTGTTGCGTTTATTGTCTGTCTGTCTGTCTATCTATCTAATCTAACTCTCTATATCTCATTCTCTTACTCTCACTCTCTTCCTGCCCCCCCCCCCCTAATTCTCTACTCCCTCTCTCTCCCTCTTCCACCTCTCTCCCTCTCCCTCCCCACACCTTACCATCCCCGGCCTTCTCCCCACCCCCCAAAAAATACAAGCACAGCCTCAAAAAAAAAACAACAAAAACAAAAAATAAAAATCAAAATAATTAAAAAAAAACGGAAAAAAACACACACACACGCACCGAGAGAGGAGCTCCCCAAGCCATCTAAATGGAGGAAGTGCGCTGCTCTCAGAAACATGGCTTGATTAACTATTATTCACCGCTGAGTAACAAGGGTCGAGTTCATAAATCAAAGTCGAGCACCCTTAGACTCTTTTAAGTAAGGCCGCCTCAGCTTCTCTCATCATGATTAACCAAACACTTCAACACTGTTATGTATGAGTAATGCTCTTTAAGATGGGTTTGCGCATACTAATGCTCGGCCCGAACCAGGGTTGAGAGAGAGGTATGTATTGTTGTAATTGGTAAGTGTTGTGGAAGTGTTTGTGTGTGTGAAGGCGGCGTGTGTCGTAACTAAGAATGTTCGTGTATTGTGTGTGTTGGTGTTGTGTGTTCTGGTGTGTGTTGTTCATTGTCAATGTAACTCCACTCCGTAATAACTGTGTATAATATCCTATCAATAGATGATCACGACGTCACTTACCAAGCGCCTGAACGAGCACTGTATATGCAAACACACGCATGATCACTACCCTTAAGCGCCAAATACAACTAACAAATATCATAATACACATCCCAGAATATAATGATATCTAGAGCCACTGTCTCACACTACTATAAGCTACACTCAACTCCGACTCAAACACTCTTTAATCCGATTTCGCTTTCTCCCTTATCAATCCACAAAACCATTAAGATATGCAAACATTGGAAAAGACCAATAATAAAAAATAGATCTATAGTCTTCAACTGTCCCAGAATTTCAGTACTACTACATATCTTAAAATTGTTATACAACATTCTCGCTAGTTAGCTTTGTCCCTTCCCACCATCGATTAACGAAGTAAGCACGCCCAATCAATATTCTGACTTATCCATGTGAGGAGTCTCGTCTATGTGTTGGAGAGTTATAGGAATGTGTCTCGTCGAGAGCCCCACTAGAATAGTATCGTATGTCTCGTCATCATTCCTTATATACGTAATTTAAATCGTGCTGTGAGAGAGAGAGAGGACAGAAGAGTGAGGCGGAGGAGGGGGAGAGAGTAGAGGAAGCGAGAGCGAGAGCGAGCAGAGAGAGATGAAGAAGTGGAGGGGAGGAGAATGCGAGAAAGGACGAGCTAGTGGAGAGTCGAGAGAGAGGGGGAGATGATAGGCGACGAGAGAGAGAGAAGAGAGACAAGAGAGAATCGGGAGGGAGGGAAAGGAGATAGAAGAAGAGAGAGAGGAGGAGAGAGAGGGAAGAGTGAGAGAGAAGGAGAAAGAAAGAGAGAAGGAAAGTGAGAAAGAGAGGAGGGGAGGAGCGAGAGAGAGAGAGAGAGAGAGAGAGAGGAGGCAACGGAGGAGAGAGGATCGGAAAAAGAGAGAGGAGATAGAGATGAGGATGAACGAGAGGAAGAGACGACGGAGGGGAAAAGATAATGTGAGAGAGAGAGAAGGAGGGGGAGGCGAGGAGGAAAGGAGAAAGAAAGAAAGAAGAAAGAGAGATTGAGACGAGTAGCAAGAAACATCTCCTCCTTTTTAGAATGCCGCTTGGAGGAGTCTTTCTTCAAAGTTCCGTGAACCGCGTTTCTTTATGAGGAGAGTGGATGAGAGGAAAGGAATAAGAATTCTCATCATTCTGTATTCATTCATTCTGTGTCTTTTCTTATCATCTGTTTCCTTTTTATCCTTATCTTGTTATCAGTCATCTGTATCCCTCTCCCATTAATCTATCTCCTTCTCAGTTTCTCCCTTTCCTTCTTCTCTCCCTCTCCCTTTCCTTCTCCTCCCTCTTACCCTTCTCCCTCCCGCTTGCCTCTCCCACCCTCTCCACTCCCTCTCTTCCTTCCACTGTTCTCTCTCTCTCGTCGTGCGAGGCGCGCTAACGATCATGTAATTTCACCACATGGATGGAAAACAGACACAGGGACACAGGGAGAGAGAGAGGACGAGATATGAAGGAGGGAGAATTGAGAGAAGAGAGACGAAGAGAGGAGAGAAGAAGACTAGATGATGCGGAGACGGAGAGAAGGAGCAAATTTGAAAAGGGAAGAGTCCCATCGAGAAAGTATCAGAATCTCGAAGTGCGACGAGAATAGCAATATCTTTCGAACGTACTGAGCGAAAAGGATACGATGAAAGAAGAGGACGGAAGATAGCGAGCTAGTCTACTAGCCGTTGAAGAGAATGTGAGATAAGGTGGGAGATCGTCGAGGGGAGTCCGACCTGACGATGATCTCATCGGACATTGATAGGAGAGTCGACTCACAGATGCAGAGAAGTAAGAGCGAAGAGCGCGAGGTGTAGAGTGTTAATAAGTTTTACTTGACGGATCCGAAGATACACCGTCCCGATTGAAAAGAGACGCGCTCACAGGAGATGAGCGACGAGACTTAGTCAGGAAATGTCAGTAACGGTTCGGCTGGTGACAGTCATCGGTCAGCCGACGTCCTATTCCAAGAAACCATGGGAGAGAAGAATGAGATGAGATAGAGAGACGCGATCGCAGAGCGATAAGGAGGAGAGATATATATATATCATCTATAATCTAATAAAATGAAACCTATAAAAAATAAAACCAGCTGTTCAGACAGATAGTTATTGTCAATGCAAGGGGTTTTGGGTGTATTTCAAAAAAGCGAAAATTGGAAAACAAACAAACAGACGAACTGAGCGATCCATCCAGCTTGATGGAAATACCAGCGAGTGAATATATTTGAGTTGAACAATGTGTCGAGAATTTCCGGATTCAGTACCTCTCTGGCTCGCTCTCTCTATCTCTCTTTATCTCTCTCACGCTCAATATATATCTCCTTTCTCTTTATATATATATGCATATATATATATATATATATATATATATATATATATATATATATATATTATATATATTATAATATATATATATATATATATACATATATATATGTGTGTGGTGTGTAATATTGCTTTGTGTGTGTGATATATATCAATATATATAATATGTTTGTGTGTGTAATTATAATATATATATATATATATTAAAAGTGGTGTGTGTGTGCTGTTGTGTGTGTGTGTGTGTGTGTGTATGTGGGTGATGGGTGTGTGGTGTGTGTGTGTTGTCTGTGTGTGTGTGTGTGTGTGTGTGGATATATTCTATCTGTTTATCTGTCTGTTTATTCTTTGTCATTCTGTCTCTCTCTCTCCCTCCGTCTCTCCCTCCCTCCCTCCTCTCCGTCTCCCTCCCTCCCTCCCCCCCCCCCCCCAGCCCGCCGTCTCATCGGGCACAGAAGCGGACGTCCAGCGGCGGCGAGAGAGCGAGAGCGCGAGCGAGTCTGAACGGCTATTTGGTTCTTTTATAGCATATT